ACTATTAACTGCTAAGATCTAGTCACAAAACGTTATTCTGAGGAAAAAAGGTTTAGTGAACCCTAGAAATTGGATTTGATTTATGCCAGAAAATCTGTCTTTTCACTGCTTGAGATTTCTATGGAAGGAAGCCACAGTCTTTTACCAAACGGTTTCTAAGGTAACATCTTATAGCAGAGCATCTGAAACCAATTTGGTTGTTAATGAGAAATAGTTCTCACGGTGGTGGGAAAGTGTGGAGTGAAAGAAAAGGCTTCAAGATTTGGCAGTCTGTCTGGAAAGGCATTTAAATGTGTGCTGCTGCTCTGCTTATGAAATTTGTACATGAATTACACATTCAGAGTCTGCCTTTCAAATGTGTAGGTTAGGTTTTTGATTTGTCCTTCCATAAAAATTTAGTTGAGAAGTTCTCAATGATAAGAATACTTGTGTATGACAGCTGCATGATTGAAATAGTTGGCATTTTTCATTGGAAATATCGTTATTCGTGCAGGGGGGAAAAAAATCCTTTTCTGAATGATATTTTTACTTCTGTGTAGTGGTGATTTCAGAGCCACAGTATCTCAGTGAAAATAGGGGCAGCTTGCAAAGCTCATGTGCTTAATGTTGGAGGTGTGCAAAACTGCTGTTGTAACTCCTTTTCTGAAGTTCTGGCTAGATGAATAGTGTGTCAGTGATCAGAGAAGTAGCTCAGTTCAGCAGTAGGTGATCTGAATTTCCTTCACAGTCAGACCCTCTGTGGGGTGGAAGGGACGCAGTACTTCTGTCAACAATGGCTCACTGCCATTTCTTCCTTCCTCTCAGGAAGAGCGAAAACAAGCAATTCTGGCTTCCCTTTCCCTGCACACACAATAAATGTGTTATGGCTCTCTACTGCTCTTACACCGTGGCCAGGCTGCGTTCTTGTAGTCTGCTCCTTGGTGCCTGAGTAGAATTGCAGAGCTGAAGATGACGCTTGTGTACTTCTCTTTGACACATGCTTCAACTGCTCCAGCTCCTCTTGCACCGTATTCACACAAAACCATATGCAGCAGCACCTGTTGGTCAGAGTTACAGCACTACACTGGGCCTTTAGGGTTGTAACGTCACAAAATGCAGTTACTTCTGCAGCTTTTATACAGCTGTGCCCTTGCATGGATATGGTTTGGATAAACTGGTGTTTGTCACAGTATAACGTGTTTGTTGAGGAGGCAAGTTCACAGAGAAGGACTTTCAGATTATTTTGTGGCTGGCTTGAATACTACACTTAAAAAAGTAGTGAAATGTTTATCTAAAAGCTTTAAAAAAAAAGTATATCTAAAAACTTAGCTACTGCTGCTCAAGAGGAGTTTTACTTGCTCAGTTTTTCTCCCCATCTCTTGAAATTTTGTTCTGGTTCTTCCTCTGGAAGGTGTTCAGCTCCCTTGGCGATCATAAAGTGAACATTTTCTTTTCATCTGTTCAACAGTCTGAATCAGTTTGTCAGGGGTCATATGAATACAGAAGTAGGTGAAAGACAAGGAGGGAAGACTGTGGCTGCCTCTTTCAATAGCATTAAGCAGTGATGATGAGGAAGGACTGCCTGTCCGTGAGCCAGTCTATGGAACGGGCGTGCGGTTCTGTGAATGGATGAGCAGTGAACCTTGAAATGTGCTGTATGTTCATTGGCCGCACATATAAGTAATGTTTTATGTTTTATCATCAGAAGTTAGTAATGTACTGATAGCAAAAACTTGAATGAATTTATTATATCACATCGACAGAGATTGTGACCTGATTATTATGTAATGTCGGAATAATAGAAATAAAATTAATAGAATAAGCTTATTTCAAGCTCATTATAGTAGACAACATAGACAACACCATATGCATACAATGAGTATGTAAACATTGATAAAATGATTTTTTTTTTTTTTATTCTTTTTCTGAAATGTCTACTTAAAGATTTAAAAAAAAAAAAGTACGGAAGAATGGATGTTTTTCTAGGTGTTCCGTTTGTCAGCTGGGTTTTAATTTAGTACTGCAAACTGATGTTAGGGAAATGATCTCTATTCAGCCTGTAGTTTCATTAATATGGACTCTCCTAAATTAAGTGGTTCTGCTGATTTCAAGTAGCAGTAATTACTTACATCAGAGGAAGTTTGTAATATGTTTAGATAAATAATATCTTCATATTTCTCAGAGAGTGTGAAGACATGTTCTTCCAGAAAGTGAGAGGGAAAGTAGGTTCTGATTCCTTTTTGAGGAAAAAATTAAATGAAAACTATTACGCATTGATTTATGTAGTGAATTGGAACTGTTGCAGGTGTAGCAATTGGGATCGTTTCCTCAAGTGAATCTTTGTTACTTTATTTTCCTTGAAACAAGTATGCGTCATAGAATGGGGAACAATAACAGATATATTCTCCTTTTCCCTTCTTTCCTGCTCTCTCCCCTTACCTTAAAAGGGTTAATGTTTAAAACAAAAACAAAAAAACTGTCCTCAATGTTCTTGCTGAAATCTATTATGCATGAAAAGACACTGAGTCCATTTGCCAGACCTCTAAATGAACTACATTCATTCTGTGCTTGGAGAAGTCCATTCAGCCAGAAACAGGCATAATAATTACAACCTAATTTATTTGGCACTAATACCAGCTTATTATAAGGGATTTTTGTGTAAACGTGTAGTAATTTTTTAAAATTCTAGTTGTATAATTTTTCAATAAAATTCCTTTAGTATCTGAATATTGAAAAAATTACATGTATAGAACGTGCATATAGATTAGCATTGCTTTAATCTAAAACCACTTATTAAGAGTTTGAAATAGCAGTTTTGGAAGTGCAATTTAACTTATGCTTTTTGGTGTAAAACAAGTTACAGAGAAATGATTGCTAGATGATGCAGAAATTGAACCAGTTGCAGTGTCTGTCAGTGACTGGAGAAAAGAGCTTTAACGTTTTGTCTTTTAAAACACTTAAACTTTGTTTAAAATTGGGCACGTCAAAATTGTAGGAATATAGTAGCGTTGTTTTATCACTCTGAAATCAGTGAAGAATCCAGTACTCCAAGTTTAGTAATCAAGTATGAACCAGGGATTGTCCCGTTGTGAGTAGAATATCATGATTCTCTAAGTCTTTGTGTGCCAGATTAGATCATATTATCATAGAATGGCTTCGGTTGGAAGGGACCTTAAAGATCAATCCCCTGACATGGGTGGGGTTGCCAGCAGTTAGGTCAGGCTGCCCAGAGCCCCATCCAACCTGGCCTTGAATGCCTCCAGGGGTGGAACATCCAAGCTTCTCTGGGCAGTCTGTGCCAAGGCCTCACCGCTCTCTGAGTAAAGAATTTCCTCCAAAAATCTAACTTAAATCTCTTCTAGTTAAAAGACATTTGTCCTTGTCCATCAGATCAGGTAGAAAGTTGGTCCCCCCTTCTGCTTGTAAGCTTCCTTTAAGTTCTGAAAGCCCCAGTGAGGTTTCCCCATAGCCTTCTCTTAGCTAAACAAGCCCAGCTCCCTCAGCCTGCCTTCATAAGAGAGGTGTTCCAGTTGTCTTTGTGGCCCTCCTCTGGATGCACTTTTATTATGTCTTAAGTGTTCTACCAGCGGTGAGCAAATTATAGAAATAACATAGACTTTACTTATAAGATCGGGAATTTAAAAAATAATAAGCATTTAGGAGACTTGGCTTATTTTATATAAATAAAATATAAGTAAGTGCTTGTTCTTGCCTGCATTGTCACAATGTGTGCAAGGAAGTCACACACATTACTATGGGCATCCTCCCTCCAGTCCAGGCATGGAAAATTCTAAGGATGAGCGTAAGATAGTTGTTTCTCTACTCTTTCTGATTTGGTTGGACTTACATGCTTAATAATTTCATGATGTGCTTAATCTAGAAATAAATGCTATGTGTGAAGGAGCATATTAACAGCTGGAGACAAATTTCACTTTATTTTCTTTGACCTGGATTCCTGTATGTATTAAATTCAGCAGAGGCTCAAGAGCTTGGTGCTGTTATCCATCACAACTGCACAGGGCCCTCCTGAAGTTAATGCCATAACCATCTGCACGCTTATTGCTGCTTCTGGAATTTGGGCCTTTAAATACAAGTCGTCATCTTAAAAGCTCGCTTTAATCAGTGACTTAGGCTGACTGAGCATTTCCTCAAGCAAACTGTAGAAAATACTGTTTGTGAGAAGTCTGAGTAGAGGTGAGTGGGTGAGGGGCTCATGGCAAAAAAAAAAAAAAAAAACAACTAACAGGAAAGGGTAAGGAGAAATACCATCCTCTATGCTCTCAACCAATTCTTTATCTGGCAGTCCTCCTGCTGACTGCTTTTCCTGCCAAGTCTCCTCCTCCTTCCGTCCCCTTGACAAGTGAAATACACTTTTTTGTACATCCAGTGAATATCTACGCAATGAGAGTTACAGTACTTTGTTACCAAGACTCCCTTTATAGCCATCTCTAACTCTTGTTTAAGATTGCATTGTTTTGGGTATTTCTGAGTTTGACATTATGTGAATTGCACATGTGGTTTGGCCCAGCCTGGGGTTGTACAGTGCAGTAATATCTTGAAGCTACCAGGAGGAGCTTCAAGGAGGTCAACAGAGTAAATGTTTCAGGGTATACTTTTTGCAGAGTGAGTTGTTTTCAAGTTATATATATAATTTTCAAATTGTTAATATTTTTATCTGAAAATCTTGTGCTTCTGTTTGAAAACTAAATGTCACATATGGATTTTCTTTTATGGTCTTTTCTTTTCTTTTATGTGTCTGTTTTCTTTTATGGTCTTCATCCTCCCCCCCACTCCTTTACTGTTCATCTTTGATTCTGTTGGGGTTACTTCTGACCAGCATCAGCATTGTAGCATCTTATGTGTTTTCCCATCCTAGAGATCTGTATGGCACACTGCTCATCAGTTCCCATTTCTTTACTGTTGTGAAGTGGCAATTCAGTAACAACATTCTGAGGCAATACTTATAAAACAAAATAATGTATGAAATATGTTGCTCACCTTTCACTTCTGACTTCCTTTAGGTACTTCCCATCAAGGTGGCTATTCCCATGATGCTGTGGTCCATGCATTACGGCAGTGCGGCATTCGTCATATTGACACAGCAAAAAGATATGGCTGTGAATCTCTCCTCCAAAAAGCTATCAAAGAAAGTGGTGTGAAGCGGGAGGACCTCTGGATAACTACCAAACTGTGGCACAGTGATTATGGCTATGAAAACACAAAAAAAGCCTGCTTGGAGTCATGTGAAAGGCTTGGTGTTGAATATCTTGGTATGCATTTTTCATATAGCTTATTTGCTATACCTGCCATGTGAGTAGAGATGAGAAAGATAAATGAGTTCTGGAAAGAATGTTATGTTGCAGATAGATTGTGAGAGCCAAACTCTGCCCTAATTTACACATTCACAGATTTCTTCTGTTCTTGAGGAAATTTATGTACATATAACTGAGAGTACAGAATTTTTCCTTGTTGCACATCTTTTAAAATGGAAAAAGGTACGTTTCTTTTTTTTTTTGTAAAAGTACATTTCATTGTTAATTTGAGTATTCACTAAATAAATTAGAGCTATATTTTTTTGCTGAAAACACCACAAACCTGTGGAAGAACACGAATTCACAGACTTGGCAATATTTTTTTAATTGGGAAACAAAAATGCGTAAGCTCTTGTGGTCTGCTGCATCTCAGGGAATGGGTGTCCTTTCTAAAAGTTATTTTGTGAGACTATTGATACTTGTAAAATTTCTGGGTATCTGCCTTTGGTTTGATCTGTTGATGCAGTACACTTTGGGGGAAAAAGACCAGAAGACTCAGTCTGATACCATATTAGACTTGCTTTAAAATATACCCTGGTCACAAACTTTTCATATTCAAAGATGTGGTGTCTTGCTGTTGTATTAGACAGGCAGTGAGCAGCAGTAGGCGACTCAATTTTACGTAACACATCCCAGACAAGGAGTGGTGGTACTTGATAAAAAGTAAGTTATGTATTTCAAAATGCTTTTAGTTCTTTCTAGCTAGGTAGAACAATGGAAGGAAAATGGAAGAAGGTGAATTTAAAGTACTTATCTAAACTGATGATATTGGAGAGGATGTTTATGCTGACAAGGATTAATTGATCAACTATTACCTGTTAGTGTCCTGAAAACACATACTTCCTTCTTTTGCTTTACACTGTGCACTTGTATTCACTGGCTATTTAGCTTGATACTCTGCAAGGTGTAGGAACAAAACCCATATCTGTTAAAGATCTGTATATTTATATGCAGATTTTTGGCTCTATTCCTTGTGGAAATGTATTCCTGAGCTTCCTGCACAACCACAGAATAAAGCAGAATGAATTAATATCTCTTTCTCAGTCTCGTGCAAATAGAAGTTTCTACAAGAGGATTTTCATGATCAGTGTTCCAATCCTTAGCTCTGTCCTCAAAATTAAGAAATAGCATGTTTCTTTCTCTCTTCTTTCTACTTGTTTTGTTTGCTTTCTTTTTTCCTCTGCTTGCTGTGGCACTGGTGCTGAATGCCAATGAGAGGAAAACTTGACTCACTTCCAGGAAATCTTTCTCAGTGATTTCTCTCAGTACTCTAATTTGCTTTTATTTTCTCAGGTAGTAAGTAGACTGATTAAAGTCTGTGCTCATGGAAAATTTCACTTTAGACGTGGCTTCCATGGTTCAGCAGGAATTGAAGGGACAAAAATGTGGGAGCAAGAATTGCACTAATATTGTTGTCAAATGAGAGAATCCTTTGTCTGGAATAAACAGAACTTCATTCTGTGTTCGGCTCTGAGACTTCTTTTGCTCACATTATTGAGACAAATTTAAGAGTTATTACAGGTGCCTGCACAATATGCCCCACTGTTCAGTACTCTTCATCTTCTGTTCCCACTTGTCTATTTTCTCTCCTTTTCTTCCTTTCCTTTCTTCCGCTAATGTTTCAGTAATCTATAAAGCTCTTCCTGACTGACCAATTAGTCAGAAATAGTGAGCTAAATTAATACTAAGTTTGTTTGAACTTAACAATTTATAAACTGTGATGTGTTAGGGAATATTTCATGTGAAATTCATGGATCTGTCAGTGAGGATGGTGACCTTTACAAGAAGGATGGGAAGACAGAAAAGGCTGCGTAATAATTATTCTGTGGTTGTGTGAAAGAGGTGCAACTGAGTTCTGTGTTCTGTGCCACGCGTGCTGGTGAAGTAGACCCTGAAAGGAGGTAAAATTCACAATGTGTTTCATGGTTTTGTAAAAAACATCCTGCTTTAGGTTCTGTGTTCCTCCTGTCTGAAAAGACCCAGGTGGAAAGTACTGTTGGAGGGGTTTTCAAGCAGAAAGTAGCAATATGTTGAAACGTGAACATTTCAAATGATTTAAGAAAGCCGAGAGCTTTTTGTTGAATGTTTTGAGACTTACAGAAAAAATGCAGAAGACTAGTTGGAAAATACAGTTATAAGCTTGTGGACCTAAACTTAGATACCCTTGCTCTCTTTTTGTTCAAGAAAAGTTGTAGTAATAGCAGGGCTATTTATGTCTAGGCTTATTTAGGAAAGTAAATTATTTAGTTTCAAGCATCTGTTAAAGCCAGCAGTTTTTCTTGAAGTAAAGCATGGAAAGCAGAGCAGAGTATTGCTCTAGATTTCCTGATTTCATCATATGTTAACCAAATACATGCATATTCACAGTATTTCCATAGGAATACTTGATTCATATATCTTGTAAGATTCTAGGTAACATATTGTGAAGTTGCACCTTTATTTGCAGACCTTCAGAGCTGCAGATCTGTAGGAGCCTGGCAGCCAACTGTGCAGTGAAGGTCTTTGTCTCAAGGAAAGCTCCACTCGTGTCCTTGAGAGTCCATGTAGCCACACCAAAAAGTAATATAATGCTAATGGATAAATCTGTGAAACTGATAGGAGGCAGTCACTGCTTTTTAAGAGAAATTATTCCATGTCAATACTGTTACAAAACTTCTCTCATAGGCGCTTTTGGGCAAATGGTATTAGGAAAGCAGTGTTCCAGGGTTTTTGTTTGAATCAGTAGATTAAATATCCATGAGAAACTGGATATATTTTTTTTAATTTGTGGGCACTGGTTATAACAGAGATTCTTCTTCTGTTTTCTAAATGCGGTACTCCAACTAGCAGTCATTGTAAACCAGTAAGAAATGGCAGCAAATCTTATGGGTTTGGCAGCAGCAGAATACATTCCTTGGGATTTAGATCAAACCTTCAAAGTAACTTCTTGAATGTGATTTGTGGGTTATTGAGTTCATAAACAATTTTTTTCCTTCTGCCTGTTCTGATTCTGTCAGATCCAACCAAATTTAACCTATCCCAGATGCACAGCTGGAACTGGACTTATCTTGGTTGTATCAGCACACTTGGTGTACCATGTCTTGATAATTTCTTGCATCCTAGTGATGATAATACACCCAATTCAGATCATGAATTGATACAGAATGTTTTGGAGGCTGCTTCATGCTGATCACTATATATACATATACATAATGTTAGCAATTTGAATAGAATCATAGACTTTAATTTCTGTGCCCTTTATATGTGAAAAGTCCCTTTACTTCTGAATTAATAGAAATTGTGTTATCTGTAGGTGCCACAACCACTAAGTAGTCATAAACCACTCTGTTTTAAATGTGTGAAAGTTGTTCTTGTGTGAAGGTTAGTTTTCCTGCAGCTGTGTTTTGTCATTTGAACTTTAGGTCCTCAATTAGTACTGCACCACCATAACTTGATTGTCTGTAAAGCATGCTTTAAAAAGCTGGTAAATATAGCAGTCAGTTGTGATTTTCTTAAGTGCATCTTGATAGCATGAATCATTTTTTGAGTTAGGTTTATTAAGAATATGGTTGTAAGAGACCTCAGAGTATTTCTTTGTCCCTCTACAACAAAGCAAAGTCTATGTCCGTGTCATTCTCAGCAGATAAAAAATGTAGTCTGTTCCTAAAAACGGCCACTGATAGCTATACAATTCTTGACTAATATTAAGCTGTTTTGATTATTATTATAAACTCATTTCTTGCCTCTGAAATTAGAAGGTTTTGTGTTCATGTAGTCCCCCAGGGGAAGAAATACCTTCAGCAAATGAAAATGTGTGGGTGCAGTTGTGAATGTGTGTATGAGCGAAGGTGAAATGGTAGAGTTTGGTTTGTGAGGTGCTTATTGCTCTTATCGCTCCAGACGTGTTATGGAAAGTTTTCTGACACGCATTCGAAGTACACAGATTCTCGTTTAAAATAGCTATGCTTAGTTTCTCAAATACAGTGGCAGTTCTGTATCTTATGGCTATATTCTGCTATTCTTCCACGGCTAGCTGTGCTGTGGTGGTTAGTGCATGACTGGCAGAAAGACTATTTTACCCTGTGTATCAGAGATAAGGTACCATTTCCCCACTTCAACGAACTCTTCTTGCAGTCAGAAGGGCTGTATTTTGTGATCCATAGATGCTTTCTAGTCCTGAATGTGTATGTTTCTAATTGCAAAGTATTTTTTATTGTAAAAAAAAGCCCAAATTACAATAAGCGTCATAGAATGATGCCAACATTGCGTGCTGAGCAACGTTACCTTCTCTGAACTTTAAGACTTGTAGCACTGCAGTGGTAGTCAAGTCTTAATAAACTAATGACCAAAATCCCTTTAATTTAAATGGGACCTGTTATATGTTGAAAGCTTATACTAACATGACCATGAAATTCTAGTTAGAGTAACCTAAGCCTGAAGCAAAAGTGCGACTTCGGCCACCTTTCCTTACTAATAAATTCTTATAGGATTTAATTTATTAAAACTGAGTGGATGTATTTGGTAATGATCGTGGAGTTGTGTTTTGATAATAGTATGTTAGAGGCCTCTGTGGAGGGAAAGTGCTGCTTCACGTGATTTGACATTTTTTGAAGACTTCGGTACCGTTTCTTTTCCAGATCTTTATTTGATACACTGGCCGGATACTCATTTTCCAGGTAAAAGCAATCAGGAGGTTCGAGCTGAAACCTGGAGAGCAATGGAGGAGCTTTATGAGAAAGGTAATGTAATAATTAAAAACTTGTCTTTGCAGAAGGAATTACGATGTGTTTTAGGCTTTGGGAAATCTGTAATGAAAGGTGTTTAAAAAAAATAAAAATCATTTGAGCTGTGTGCTCATATTTGGATCATATTTGAGCATGTCAGTTATTTGAGCCTCTTTGAAAATTGCAGCATTAGCGTTCTGGTAAACTAAGGGAGTTTTATGTTGCTTTTAAGTAATATGGTTCCAAGTTTTGCCTGTGAGATTAATGGTGTGCATACTTCCTTGAAAAATTCTACAGATTATGTTGAAATGTTTATGTTACAGCAGAATGTCTTTGTAGTAACCTCCACTGTTGTCAGTATAAATCACACTACCAAGTTTTATTTCATTTTGATTTTTTAAAATTTATTTTAGGATGTCATTTTTCACTTTATCTTGTACTATGCTACTTTATAGGACCTATTTGTGTTTCAGAAAATGTCAACAAAACAAGCTGGATAGGTAGGAACAAATATCAAACTGCAAATTCTTTGTTTTTAACTTTTTCAGAAACTTTCAGAGGAGGGAGCTATTCTCTCAAGTTGAGGTTTCTGTCAATATGTTTTTTTTTCGTGCACGGCAATCTTCTGTTTATGTTCATATCAATAGGAAAAGTAGACTGCCCCAAGCAAAATTTGTCATGTAGGTTTGAGGGGAGGATTTTGCTCTTGAGGTGTGAACAATATTTTTAGAAACAACGTAAAAGAAGGTCCTGTCATACAGTTCTTAGGCAATGTGATCCCACTGTATTTGGATCTTCAAAGAATTTATGTGGACCGTGAGAAGAATTCTTGGTTAGTCTATTTGCCAGCTCATATACTGAAACAGTGAGTGTAGCAGTAGAGTGCTGCCCATACGGTCTGCATGCTGTATGTCTTTTATCAGTTTTATCTGGGTAATAAATAAACCCATTTTTTTGAGCTTCTACCCTTGAAGTGTTTTTGGTTTGCATTTGGAAACACAAAAGTAAATTATCTTTGATACATCTTTGGTTTCTGCTTTTTATATTAAGCATAGGGAGGTTGCAAAAAGTATTTTTTGCTGTGTAAGGGATTACAACATTAAGTTTTGAAAGAAATACTGCACCAACCACCAACCTCATGTTTCAAGGCATCAGTGAGTCCAATGATGGAGTGAATCATTCAGCAAGCTATTTTGCTTTTCCACTGAAAAGTGCTTTCTGATGGGTGTTTAGGCTAACACATGTCATTTGTGCCTGGGTATGCCATCCGGATTGCTGCAATTACGTTATATTTTCACTTGCTGTTAATATTCCTATCTTGATTTATTTATTCTGATATTGCTTACATTTGTGATTTATTTTATTTCATGTCTTTCTAATGCAAAAGATTTTGAGCTGTTCAGTGATCTTCAGTAAGACACTGGAAATGCAATCACTGAATTGTTTTTTATTCTTTGTTTCTATGCACGGTATCTATAGATACTGAGGTTGTATTTATTTATTTATTTTGCAGTTATGTTTCTTTGTCACTTTTCACTACCATTTTCTTAATTTAAGCATTCTGTAGGCTCATGATTCACACAGGTTAGCTTAAGTATTCCAGCTCTGGTCTACTTTACTTTGGTGAATTTGCCCTCACCTGTAGATGATTTGTTAGTCTGATTGAATCAAGTGCCTTTGAACGTTAGCCTACACAGTTCTATGTTAAGGGATGCAGACTCTGCATGTTCTGACCATAACCAGGAACTATTATTGAAATGATATGCAAAAGTTAACCACTCTGGAGATGGAAATGCAATGATTCCTGAGGAAAATGTTAAATAACTTGTTTGCATGGTTAACCACTAGACTTTCAGTTGAAGATTGAACGATTACTGCATATCTTTGTGACTTGCTATGTGTTATGTGAGTAAAGTGTTAGCCTCAGTACAAATTGAATATATGACTTGGTCAAAATCCTTACTTGAGGGGAAAAAAAGAGTTTTAGGCTAAAGGGTGAGTTCTTCATTTTCACTGAATGTGGCTTTGGTGCAGGTAGTCATTGGTTCCTGTTCGCAATACTGGTTTTTTAGGGCATGTTTACTGGGGGCTGGCTTGAAGCAAAGCAACAGTAGAAAATAAAAACCTTCAGGTTTAAGGATTGTCTATTTAAAAATGAATAATATTCCTTAATCCATTCATGAAGGAAAGATTGAAGTTATTTAACTTGCTTCTGGGTTTAGCAACTAGCTGTATCCACACGGAGGAGTTTCTGGAAATGCAATGACATTAAACATAATTCTCTGTGGAAAAGCTGGTTTGTAGTATGGGATTAATAATGCATATGTGCAAGAGACTGGTAAGATGATAAAAAATCTCAATATTGACCGAAGTCTTTGGTCCAGCTGTGGTAACAAGATTTTCTTTAATGACTTCTTTGTATTCACAGATACTTTGATTTCAGATATTTGAAAATCTCATTCTTTCAACCTCTATTTAAATCCTGGTTGATGTTTATTCTACGAGATTTCACTTACCTGAGGCAAACAAGATTTTAAAGTAATGTAAATTATTAATAGCCTTTTATTATATCACCATTACCTATTACCCTACCAGGCAGGTAAATAAGTTATCAGTATCATGAGTCTGTAAAAGTCTTTGCAGGTTGGGTTTGTTTTTTTTTGTGTTACAGTATGTTTTGTATTGGTCACAATGGTCAAATGCATTTATGTTTATAGATATGAGGTTTTTTTAGGATGTGTAAGCAAAGATGGATTCTACCATGTTCATCTTAGAGTCACCAAGTAGTAACTGAGACCTAAGGTAACAAGGCTTGTAGGCCTTTTGGACTGAAATATCTTCTCAGCCAGTTGAGGAGAGAGTATGGTTCTTGAGTCTATGCACCTGTCTGGGTCAGCATGTGCTAAAACCCAGTCCTCAGATGAAAAAGATCTCTGTGTGATAGGTTAAAAAAAATCTAAAAGATTTTTCGATATTATTTGAATAAATAGTTTAGGGAGCAGAAAACTTGAATGAAAAGTTAAGCAAAACTCCTCAGATTAGAACAGGTCCAACTTCAGAAAATTCCCAAATGCTTCTGGCTGAAGAAATAGCAGGTTTACTGTTATTTGAATGCAGTGTGTGCAAATGAAAATGGATATGTAAACTGATGCATGAGCTTTCACTGAAACATATAGGCATCCTTAACTTTACTTTTTCATAATCTTTCAGCACCTTGTAGTGCTTTCTCTGTTTTGTCTTAAGGAAAGTTTGAGGTTTATCTGTAACGTCAGAAGCTTCTATTAACTGGAAAGCAATGGGTTTAGGTGACAGAACAGGGAGATCTCCTTTGCTTTCAGTCAGAAATCTCCACTGTGGCTTAACGTTATCCATGTTTTTAAGAATCTTCTTCTTGTATTTCATCAAAAGTAATTTTTGGTGTTAACATTCTTTAAAAAGAATCACCTGTCCTGATCTGATTTTTAACTGGAAATATGAACAACTTAAAACAGGAAAGAATCTGAGTAGTGTTTGTCAGTATTTGTCTTGTTGCACTTTGTAGCTGAGTGGTTACCATACTGTAATTTTGGCAAGTGCTCCTTGGGTTCAGTGTGCTGACAAATTTTTGCAAACTGAATGGAGTCCAGTTGCTGCCTCAAGGCTGGGGTCTCAGAGGCACACTTGGAAGAAATTTTTTAGCGCTCTCTCCATTGTGCTTGAATCCAGCATTCACCTTCCTAATGCAACTGAGCAATTGTCTTACAATCTCACTTCAGGGTAAATAAGTTTTCCCAGAGTCCCAGGTGATTTTCATGAGGTTTTTATAAGGAAACCACGACAGATGCAAGTTTTACCAACTTCAGGATTTTAAGTCCCTCTGGGTTGAATCTGAAATGTGGTCAATCCTGTGTTGTTTTTTTGTTTGTCTGAGCTATAGAGTCTGTAGCAGACCAAACATTTTCTCCTGACTAAATCCTTCAGTATGTTTCTTAGAGTCTGTTAATGGTCCTAATGGCATCTCTCCCTTGTTATCCTATATTTTATACATTTCTTCTCTCTAGCATTTCTTCCCTACAAACAAGGCAAGGTTATGCTTTTAGTTTGTTATATTTCAAATATTATGTAGTGTAACCAGATTTTGGTGATTAAATTTGCTGTTTTCCCATAATAACCTAGGGAAGGATGTGCTCCAGTCCTGATCAGTAAAAGCGGGTACATATTTTGAATTGATACTGAATGATAAATAAAGCTATCTGTTAGTAAGTCATTCAAAATATGTACCCGCTTTTACTGATCTCATTCAGTATCAAGAACCAAAATTTATTAATTGTACATATACTTCCCTAAACCATATGGGAAATGTATTAGAACTGTTAGTCGTTATGTTAATGAGTTATAACAGCATCTAATTCATGAGGTATTCGTATTCAGGTTAACTGTGCTGTGAGAATTGTGCTGTCCCTTAGTGTAAGTAGTAGCTTTAGAGTAAGTAGGGGTTGGAGCTCTGCACCTGGGCTTGTTAATCCTGAGGAGTGGCAGCAAGTTCCATTGAGCAATTATTGAAACATCTTTACTCTGACGATTAGGAACAAATGATTGTGGGATAATACTTATCATTTTCTTTACAGTTTTTTTTTTTTTTCAATTGTGTGTCTCTGATGGTACAGAATAAAGGCTCTACCAGTGCTAAATAGATTCATTTAAAAACAGTGGTAAGACCAAACTGCTAGCAGTTTATTCACAGTAGGAAAGCTCTTGCTGTTAAAATGGATTTCTACTAACAGAGGATTAAGTACTCTAGAACTTCAATGTCAAGAATTACTTTATTTCAATGCTATTAAGCCTGGAAATGTAACATATTATTAATATATATTTTATATGTATGTATGTTTTAAGTATGGTGATTTGTTAATCTGCTCCAGTTCGACTGTAGCAGTTTCACAGGAGGCAGTCAACTGTCACTGTATGTCATAATATCACAGTGAGAATAATTGAGTCTGTATGTGTTGTCCGGTACTGAGAGGCAGAGAATTCTG